ATTAGAAAGGTGTCAGGGCATGCGGATCCATTTCGCCCACTGACCGCAGGAGCGCAGAAGTTGATTGGCCGATTGGTTTCACTTTCCTAAGAGGATATTATCAGGTAATCAGATCAGACAGATTTGAATCTGGCAAAATGAAGACGCATTCATAGGACACATCTGAAGGGTTCTTTGGAGAACTCAAGGAGTGGGACAGCCTTTGGCTTTGAGGTCATCAGTCCACAGTAGGGATGGAACAGTTTATGAAAACCGTCAGAACCGTTCGGTTCGACTGTCTCGGTTCGGTTCGCGTGTGTTGCGTTCGGTTCATGCGCTGCTCCTTTTTCTCATAGGCGAAGCGTTCACACTCCAGAGCAGAAGGTGGCGGTACTGCGACCAAAGCCAACCACCAGTAGTAAACAAGAAGAAGAAGAAGCGAAGCAGCGTAGCCGGGTGTAGCAGAAAAAAATCAGTTGTTGTGGAGAATTGTGTGGGTATGGCGAGTGGGAAAGAACAGGAGTTGGAAGACGAGTGGCCAGATGTCTGGTTTTAGGGCGGAAAGTCCGGATTTTCATTGCACTGTCCGGCGTCCGGCGCCACATCCAGCCGGACGTGTATTTGTCCTCCTTTACCCCCAGATTCCACATACTCTGTCATGTAAATCAATGAGAGCTATTCCACATCCTCCACTACGTCTCTGTCCTCGTACGTCTTCTCCGTCCGTCACCGACAAAATACGGAACTGAGCTCTTTTTGGCTCCGCTCCGGTCAGTCTACATCAAGACCCGCAATCACACCAAACAGGAGAAAGAATGTAGAGATGACCCGGTTTGTCAAATTAAATTATAGTAAAAACAGATCGGTAACTATAAATTAGAGCATAGTTCGTATATAATCCAAAAACTAAGAGCAATTCATTAAATAATGGATGCAGACTATTGGTGCTTCAACAGACCAGGAAGAAGTTGTGAGATTCTAGAGCGAATCTCACAACTTTAAAAGAAAATTCTTATTGCAGGAATGAATGAAGAGATGATGAGTTTGGAAGCAGAAAACAAGTTCATTCAAACTATGGATGAATGATCCTGTTTATCAAGTGGGAATGCTTATGCATTCCCACTTATTGTTGTTCACTTTAAATTTTTCTGACTCTAACTAGTCCCGCAGTTTTCAACCGATTTCAACAATTTTGGTATCAAAACGTTCAGCTCCTTCAGGAGAATTCTGCTATGTCTTTTGGTAAAGATATTTTTGGTAGTTTTCGCGTTATTCAGCTTTTTCTGCGTTTTTTTTGTCCCATTGAAATGCATGTAGAATTCTTAGATTTCAGCAAAATTCAGCTAAACCTTCATCATCTTTGACCTTTAACTACTTCAGCATACTTTCAGCTAGAAACACCATTCAACTTTTAAAATGTTTCCGTATCTTTCTGCTATTACTGTTTAACTTGGCTTTCTGCTAACTTTTACAGTTTTGCTTCAGTGAAGCTTCAAACTTTAAAAGAAATTTTTAAGATTTTCAGATTTATAATGGAAGTCTATGGACGGAATTCTTCAACTGCTAGAGTGCGTGCTCTAGCTTTTGAGCTGTTCTGGTTTTTCCGAACAAATTCTTCTCAGTCCCTCATTTTTAACTCAATCGAAATAAATTATACATCAAAACGTAGAGATTTTTGTCAGGATTCAGGAAATATAACCCTCATTTGTGTGGCATTTACGGTTTTCCGACAGTTTGGCCCAGACCATGAAGAAGTCCACACTTCCCCAATAGAAATCCAATAAGAGATTTTCCAAAAATCACAGACAAAATCCAAAACGATACATATTTTCGTATCGCTCCCATTTATAAACTATTTGATGTACTAACATGAAACTTGGTATACAACATCTTCAGAACCTTCTAGCACTCACATTGAAGGAATTTCTTCAATATCATTTTTATGGTTTAGCTTTTTAGCTGACTTGTTCGGGCATAGGAAAACGCTGATTCTGAGAAAAATCCTCAAACTCAGAAAATGCACATTTTTAAATCGTCACGGTGGCCAAATAGTTTTTAGTAGAAACATGAAAGTTGGCACAGTCGAAGCCGAAGGATGGCTGACGCCAACGGTGAAAGAATTTTTTGAATACCTTTTACGGTTTTAGCTCACCACTCGTTTGTTCGCAGGGAAAGTTTTGCTTTTGAGCGTTCTGCTCTACCATGTTGCTGCATGTTATTTAATGAGACCAGCAGGATTTATAAACCTTTATATTTCTCCTTCCCATTAAGGCTGAGAATGAGCTACATCCATGAAAGTTACCCCAATTGGAGACAAAGGATAGCTGTCGCTTTTTAGCTACCATTATTTTTAGATACCATTTACGGTTTGTCTTCAGCACTCGTTTGTTCGGAGCTGATATTCCCATTCAAAAAAGCCTGAGAGGAAAGGAACAAAAGTGAAGCGCATGTCTCTCTGTCACTGACAGGCTCGTTAAGCGTTGTCAAGGTAACCGAGCTTCAAAGGGATTTTACCTCCACCACTTTAAACAGCACATTTTAATCTAATGGAGGGAGACAACACTGATTTAACATTTGGAAATGGATACAATATGACTACTGGCCATGACCCTTCCCTTCACACGCAACCCTGATAGACTTTCAAAATAAGACTCCGGGGACCCTTCAAAATAAAAGCCCCTACATTAAACTCATATTTTTTTCCCAGCATATGGCTAAACATTATGACACAAACTCAACAACTTTTTTAAAAATGAGACTCTAGGGGGTTTTCAAAACACACCCCACGGAAAATTTGCTGTCATCAACAAAGCGGCTCGTAACATGCAGGTTAAATTTTTTTTTATAAATTCAGCTCCTTAAAGGAGAAGTTCGGTTTTTTACACTTTAAGCCCATTTTCTGTAGTGTCCAGGATGAAATCGAATGATCGACACCAAAAGTTTGACAATTGCTCCTGTCTCTGCTTTTTGGCTCATTTAGAATCAACCCCTGGCTGCTTCATAATGGCTAGCATAGAGCATGTCCGATAATGTCCTTAAAACAACCTTAAACGTTCTTTTTTTAAAATATGCTACTCACCGGGTTGTCAGCGCTGTTCAATGACGTTCCAAAAAAAGTTTCGTAAAGAAAAAACGTTCCTGTAGTGTTTTATTTAGCATTTTGTAAATCCCATTGAGTTCTGTAGGAATAGTCAATATTCCGCTGCCACCGGAAACGGAAATGGGGCCTGTTTACACAGTTGAAGTCTTTTCGCTTCACTCTGTGTACTCCGACGTCGAGGTGCTAACGTCTCTGTTAAACACTTTAAAAAACTCTGAAAGTGGAATACGAAAGGTGGATTCTTGATTCTCGACGTCGGAGTACACAGAGTGAAGCGAAAAGACTACAACTGTGTAAACAGGCCCCATTTCCGTTTCCGGTGGCAGCGGAATATTGACTATTCCTACAGAACTCAATGGGATTTACAAAATGCTAAATAAAACACTACAGGAACGTTTTTTCTTCACGAAACTTTTTTTGGAACGTCACTGAACAGCGCTGACGACCCGGTGAGTAGCATATTTTGAAAAAAGAACGTTTAAGGTTGTTTTAAGGACATTATCGGACATGCTCTGTGCTAGCCATTCTAAAGCAGCTAGGGGGTGATTCTAAATGAGCCAAAAAGCAGAGACAGGACCAATTGTCAAACTTTTGGTGTCGATCATTCGATTTCATCCTGGACACTACAGAAAATGGGCTAAAAGTGTAAAAAAACGAACTTCTCCTTTAAGTGGTATTAGCTCTCTTTCTATAAGCTTCTCTCTCTGTCCTTCCTCTGCTGCTCATGGTCAGTCTTGCACATAGGTTTGTATATTTTCAATCCTCTAAGGATGACGCTGTTTTCTTTATGCTGATCAACCGACACATTTTAAATCATTTCAAATTGTTTTGCCAAGTCTTGACATTTCCACAATTTCAAAATTTTGATACTTATTCAATACCATCTTCCTCAACATTTTACTTCCCATCCTTGAGCTACTCATATTTTCTTCAACCAGATATGATGCAAGTTCTTCTTTGTAATTTCTTTTCTGATTCAGCTAATTTAATATTTTTCTGCCTATGCTGAGAACTTTGGCTTAATTTTACTCTTTTTCTGGACAGGAATTAAGCTTTTCTGTTTGCTGCTAATTCATAACACGCCTGACATGTTTCTGGGCAGTAGGTGGCCCCCCTTCAAAATTTCTTTAGAAATTTTTCTAGAAACTTGGGAGATATTACATTAAGACTCTTCTAGTGCACACATTATATACATTCTTTGATATTATGTATGGTTTGGCTGTGCTGCTTTTAAGATGAGTTTGTTTCTGCCATTTTACTGCCAAATGATTCTACCCTACACAATCTTCAGATGATTCAATTGTTTTCTGCAGTTTGAAGTTTCTGATGACTTCCTATCACATTTTCATATGTTATGCAGTTAATTTCAGCTTTTTTCATTCAGCAAAAAAAGCATTCCCACTTTGCTGTTTCTACGAAACAGCTTTTTCTAGTTCCTGTTACAAAAATCCACAGAAAGAAAATATTTGGGCAGAAACTGAACATCTGCTGGATGATGATGACTGGGATTTTTTTAAAATATGACATATTAAATTAAATGTTCACAGGGTTTATACACACGCGTTGTACTTTACAAGACATAGTAGATTTTCCTAACAATCAACATATACCGAACCGAACCGAAAACCGTGACCTCGAAAACGTGAACAGAACCGAACCGTGGATTTTGTGAACCGTTCCACCCCTAGTCCACAGGTGTGTCAGCAGAGGTTTAGGGGCTGCCCTCTGGGTCCTAATGCCCATTAGATATATGCCTTGAATTATCTTCTTCTGGCTTCAACGTTGGTCATCAGGGAATACCTGTCCTCCATGTTTTAAATGTGTCCCTGCCTCCACTCACCTGACCTCAGCTGGCGGATTCACACTGCCAGATAATCATGGAAATCTTTCCCGTTCTGAGAGGTGCTAAAATATCCTGCAGTGTGTGGTTTGGTAGTAGTGATCTGGTCTGTGTGGAAGTACATCTGTTCCACTCTGACCTCTGACCTCAAACTGGGGAAACTCAACAGCTTTGACTGCCTTGGCCCGGTGCTGTGTGTGCCGTCCCCTCATGCAGACAAGGATCCACAATGCGATGTCTGGCCAGTTGTTGAGTTCTGCAGCCTATCCATGCTGTTAGTGTCTTGTTTCCCACCTCCTTTCCTAAGTACCTCTGAAACTCTCTCAAACGGGGGAACTGTCAGGTCAAAGGGACGGTGCAGAAAAAGCGTCTTTCAGTGACACTCTGAAGTCTAGTATAATCAGGCATAAGTGGCACCAAGACCAAAGAACTGAATTGGTTTGTCCTAAATAATGAAAAGTCAAGTGAATATCTTGGTTTAGATCGATTTGATATCTATGGTTGATCTGATCCTCTCTGTCGTTCTGCAGGTTGGAGTGGGTGGAGATCATTGAACCACGCACACGGGAGCGCATGTATGCCAACCTGCTGACGGGCGAGTGCGTCTGGGACCCCCCGCAGGGAGTGTGCATCAAGCGGACTGGTGAAAACCAGTGGTGGGAACTGTTTGACCCCAACACCTCCCGCTTCTACTACTACAATGCCTCCACCCAGAGAACGGTCTGGCACAGGCCTCAAGGCTGTGACATAATCCCGCTGGCCAAGCTTCAGACCTTGAAGCAGCACACAGACACCGCCGCCCCGCGCTCCGCCGCTGCTGGGGAAGGGAGAGGGTCCGTGGACAACAGCCCGGGGCGTAACAGCGCGGTGAGCCGAGAAGGAAGCACGTCCTCCTCCCTTGACCAGGAGCTGGGTGAGAAGCCGGGCTGCAAAGAAGAGGCTGAGCGGTAAGGCAGCGTCTCTGAGGATCCCTGCAGCGTCCATCAGCTCTGGGTTAATCCTGCTTTCCTCAGACAGAAAACCCAGCAGATAGGGCTCCTCCTCCCGCCATCATCATTAGGGTTTTAATGTTTGAAACCAGAAAGTCTGATAAGTTTTTCTGCCAGATGTTGTGAATCAGAGCTCCAGAAATAAACTGGATTGAAATAAACACAATGGAACATAGATAGTAGCAGCCTAGATGCACAGCAGGGTGACGTCCAAAGATGAACTAAGATGAAACAGAGCAGAGAGCAGCTCCATCTCTCACAGCTAATGACGTGTGTGATGAGTTACCTCCTGCTGCTCCTCCAGGAGGTGCTGAGGAGGCCTGTAACACACCTCCACACATCTAGGTCTGTCTGTTAGATGTTAGCATGTTTTACCAGATTTGTTAATAAAAGTTATATCCAGAGGGACTGTCTGACCTTGGATTCCTTCTCCAGGCTCGTTTCCTCATCAGCTGTAGCCGAGGTCGACTTCTTTCCCTCTGAACCTCCTACATCTGCTGCTGTCCTCAGTGTCCTGCTGTCCTCAGTGTCCTGCTGTCCTCATCCTTTGCACTCACTAATCTTTGTGTCCTGTCAGTTGCTGCAGTGTTCAGCTCCTATGGTCTGGTTATTACCGGGGTCACATTGTGCTGTTAATGGCTTTTCTGCAGGTAATACATTAAGTAGATGACTGAACACAAGGTGAAAGCATCCTGTCTCTTCAAACCTATTATCATCTCTGGGGGACAAAAATAGACAATCATGGAGTTTGTCCTCAGTTCAAGGAGATAAACTTAGACAACCTTTTTGTGCATTTTTGTGCACATTTCCTTTTGTACAGCTTCCATTCCTTTAAGTGCAGCAGTGATCAAATATAAACATTGTGGGAGAAAAACACATTGATGCAGTATTGTTGGTTTGGTGTCATCAGTGTGATGCAGAGTTTATCCATCAGTTGATCAGTGTGATGGCGGTGGGGAAGAAGCTGCTGCAGAACCTGCTGGTCCTGCATTGAATGCTGGGAAGCCTCTTCCCAGAGGGCAGCAGAGAGAACAGTCCATGGTGGGGGGGTGAGGGGTCATTGATGATGTCACGGGACACGCAGCGCTGGGATGAAATGTCTTTAATGGAGGGAAGAGGAGCCCCCATGATCCTCTCTGCTGTTCTCACCTTCTTCCAGTCTGAGGCGCTGCAGCCTCCACACCACACAGTGAGACAGCTGCTCAGAACGCTCTCTATGGGGGGGAGGATGGGGGGGGCAGGAAGTCCAAGCGCTTCTGGGCCCTTTGGACCAGTGAGGTGGTGTTTCCAGTCCAGGTGAGGGTGTCTGTGATGAATGACCACCTCTACAGCTGAGCTGTTGATGAGCAGTGGAGCGTGGTTAGGCCGCTTCTTCCTGAAGTCCACCATGATCTCCTTGGTCTTCTCCACCTTCAGGATCAGGCTGTTATCTCTGCTCCACCAGCTGCTACACCTCCTCTCTGTAGTCCAGGTCGTTGTCGTCTCTGATGAGGCCCACCACCGTGGTGTCGTCTGCAAACTTCACCATGTGATCGGTGGTGAACCTGGGGACGCAGCCCTGAGGGGAGGGGCTTAGACTGATGACATCAGAGGCGTTCTGTCTGAGCTGAGCTGAAGTCCAGAACCAGGATCTTCACGATGCTGGCAAATCAATCACCGCTTTAGCATTTAGCATAGTTCCAGGTATAAATCCTCATTTCTTAGATCTGAATCAACATCCTGAACACTGACAGGGAGCTATTGTGATTCCTTCAGAGATAGATGGTTTCTTTCTTAGTTTCCTAGGGGGGGGGTTTGGGGATAAGGTAGATTTCTTCCCCATCCCATCCAAGGAGTAAAATACTTTTCCTGTCCTCCTGTCCCGCCCCATTCCTGGTTAATCTCATTTTTGTGGTCACTTCCTCCTCCACAAGAAAAATGAAGGTTGTTCTTATTCTCACATTTCAGAGCCTTCCTTTGTTTCTGCCGTCTTAAGACTTCCTGCTGTTTTCTTCTGGACATCTAGTGGGCAGAATGTTTTTCTCAACTTATGTTCTAGAACATTAATGGGATAGGTCAGGAAAAATTTCAAGCTGAAAATTCCTCTCTTATTCCAGGTGAAGTGTTGTTAAAATAATCCGGGGAGTACTGCTATGTCGTAGGAAAAAAATATTCAGCTATTCACTCCAGTTAAATAAATGGAGATTGATGGATTTCATTCAGTCGGCACTTTATTCCATGTTTGCAAAGTGAGAACAGTTCATCGTACTATTGCACGGTAATCAGCCCTGTTCTGATCTGGGCAGCGTTCGTTCCCTATTAATCACAATAATGGAAAGTAGTCAGAGTCAAAGCAACTTACAGACACTACTCTCACTTTAGTGAAGTTTCTTGGGACTCTACCGACCCTGAGAACCTATGCTTCCTTTTGGCATTATTAGAATAATGAAAAGCAAACTGGAACTAAAGCTTATGCTGCCGTTAGCCTAAACAAGCAAGCTAAAATTAACCATGAAACTAAATATAAGATTACTTTTTAGTATTGCCCAACGTAGAGAGTCTATGTTAAATGTTCTAAGCTAAAGAAAGATTTGTTTTTGTTCTCCATGCGTTTTTGGGTAAAAAATACCTTTGTGCTAATAAAGATGCTAGCAAGTAGCAGCTACTTAGCGGCATGCTAGCTTTGTTAACAGCATGTCTAATACTGATGTTTTTAATATTAAAAAGTGTTTAAAGGGTGAATAGTACGCTTATAATTAGTAGGCTTATATCTATGTTTTGTTTTGTTTATTTAGTTTGTGTTAATTTGAAAGGTGTAAAATACTAAGTATTATAATTTCGTTTTAATTTGTTTACAGGTTAATCAGCAGGGCTGTGTAATGCACCTGGCAATAAATAACAAGAACAATGACTAATTGATGTTCTTCATAACAGTTTATGTTAAAGTGAGACATCCTGTTAATACACAAGCTTTGTTGCATTATGCCATTTTATCTCTGCTATTTCTATGAATACTTTCTTTGTTACTTCTGCTTTTACTCAGATAAAACTAAGTTTAAGTTATGCTCCTCTTACAAATATTGGATTTCCTGCCACTTCTGGTCATAGATGTGAAAAGTATTCATCTTTATTACTCAAGTATAAATCCTACTGTTTAAAAACACTTTTTCAGCTTTTTACTCCAGTAAAAGTGTAAAATAACCATTAAAAAAATTACTTAAAGTAAAAGTAATGCAGGAAAAACTGTTAAGGCCAGAATCTTTTCTGCTCTACCCTATTAAAGGAACATTTTTCTACAATTCTGGATGATAACTTCCTTAGACTTCATTTTAGTTTTATAACTAATGGTAACAGCGTCACATTTAACTTTGCATCATCTTGAAAAACTATTTATTTTGGTATGTGGTGAGCAACAAGTTGGGGCAGCACCGAGTCCAACCACAAAGAAATGATCTGGATGAAACTAAGTCTTTGCCTGGAACAATGGCGACTATATTAGCTGTGATCAGCGGGTAGAAAGTAGTTAGAATCTATGTTGAAGTGAGAAAGTCCTCCTGAAAACATGGTCTGTGCAGTCAGTTCATCCAGATTACCATCCTGCCTTCAAAGATTATTTCTCTGTGGGAGCTGCTCAGACCCCCACATACCGGCGCTGCGCTGTCACTGGGAATCCCCAGCAGCAGCTGCTGGAAGGTGGTTATTCTGCTGGCAGGTTTCTACATTTTATGCTTAACTAACTTTAATTTAGATGTTAATAAACAGTTTCAGAGGAGTGATCGTAGCGCTCTGCATAATCATTGCTGTGCTCCCAGATCAGCTTCTCTGATTGGTTGTTGTGGCGCGTCCAGCAGCTACATTTTTCCAGCTCCAGCAGCTGCTGCGTTTGCAGTGCGTCCCGCAGCGCGTCAGAGGCTTACGATGCGCTGCGTGACGTGTTGCTGCGCCTTGATTTGCATCAACCATTTCCATGTAAACCTGCTGCTCCTGCTGCTTTAGGTGTGAACGTAGCATTAGACTCGCGCCTCTGGAGAGAGCCACTCTAAATACCCCCCTGTCCACTGGCATTGCTGAGTCAGCACCTAGTGGCCCAAAGTGATAAAGTTCTGGAACAACATCTGGTGTTGTAGAGGAGTAAAAACAATTCTGAGAAGATCCGACTGTGGTCTGACTACCAGGGATTCTCTGCTCCCTTGGCTAAGCTAGGCTATGCTAAGCTAGCTGTAAGGTCTCTGGTCCCAGCCATCGCCCTCTGTGAGACCAAGGCAAGCATCTATGAAGTAGAAGCTGTAACATCAGCCACACATCTCGCTCTTTATGGGGGTTTTTGTCTCAATTTACAATAATCCAAACTAATGGTGGCCGAATAAATAAAGATAGCAAGAAAAATGTTTTCTAAATGATAAGTGAAACCAAAGTTCACCAATTGGCCCTAGAAGCTTAGGAACCCAATGGGTTTAGGACAAAAGGTCATTGATGCCTGAAGGGGGGCAGTTTGTGATAATTATAAAGGGCACATCACAGTGCAGCCCTAAACCTTCCCTCGCTTCTCCTCGTCTCACACTAAACATGTTCCCCTCTTCAGACGGGCCCTGTTCACAGTGCCACCATTGAGGCTTCGCCCAAAGGACTCTTCAGTGACAGTGCTCAGAATGCAGGATGGCCATGAAGCAATCAATTTCACAGTCCTCCCAGTGCACCCAGTTCATCTCTTGTTCCCCATCCAGTGAGACCAGTTGGCCTGTTGGTAGACCTGTGTACTGAGAAGAAGGTCTGAAGAAGCATGGCTCTGTTGCATACTCAGCAAACCCATCTTATTTCCAGTGTTAGTGATTCTGATAAAAGTGGAAAATGTTTAACGGTTGTGATAGAATGGTTTTGGGCATTTCTGTTCGGTTTGACCTGCTGAGGTAGACCCAGACCCCAGGACAGGCAGCCCCCTGTGCTCAGCATGAAAGCAGGGATTAGACTGTATTATCTGC